AATTCTGTATGAACCAAAGGTAAAATGTCCTCTATATTTAAGATTTGAAATTTCGGGGGGGGGGGGGGGGGGTAAGTGTCTTGTTCCTTCGCCGATATACCGGTCCGGAATGTTGAGATTTGCAAAGCATTCTGTATGCATTTCTTATAAAGTCCTACGTAGGAGTAATAAACTCCTAATTAGGCTTTTTATCTCCTACGTAGGAGTTATAAAGTCCTACAAAGGAGTTATAAAGTTATAAAGTCCTACGTAGGACTTTGTAAGTCCTACGTAGGAGTTTAAAGACCTACGTAGGAGTTTAAAAGTCCTACGTAGGAGTTACAAACTCCTAATTAGGCTTTTTTTATCTTCTACGTAGGAGTTTATTTTTTTATAGAACATTATGAATTGGCACCAGGACGCTTCCGTATGATACAGTATATACAACATATCATAAATAAAAAGCATAATTAAGCATAAAAAAGCAAATTGTCACTCTCTACAAATTTAAAAGAGACTTTGTATATACAATTAAATCGTTATTGTATAATAGAGTATTAAAGCTGCACGACTCCAGATGAGACGAAATATTTAAAAAAAAAAATTTTTAGAAAAATGTATTAAGATGTTAAGGAAAGTAAAAATATTTAATATTTAATTAATTATTTATATGTTATCTGCGATTGATGACTGATTTTGCAGTATCGGTCACTATAATTTTACTGCGGTACTAACGTAGTAAGAGGTATTTATGTATATTTTCACTTTTTTGGTAATTTACGTGGATTGTAAATGCCGTTTGCAATGTATATTCAATTCACAATATTTTACTTATAAATACATTTTCAAAATTTTCATGAAAATAAGCATAAATCTGGAGGCATGCTGCTTTAAAGTTCACACTTGATCTACATCTTGAGCATAGTACATGTAATAGAAAGAGCATCGAAAAACGAAGCTATCTGATTAGTACGAGGGGGATATTCATGAGTGTAAAGAGTATGCCCTAGTTAGGTTCACATGTTTGTAAGGGTCATGATCATGTAAGAACATGATTGTACAGGATATTTCAAGTAAGACCATAAATGTATATGATTTGATCAAGTAAATGCTTGTTATGAACATGATCATGTAAGAACATGATTGTACAGGATATTTCAAGTAAGACCATAAAGATCAAGTGCATGCTTGTAATGGACATGATCATGTAAGAACATGATTGTACAGGATTTTTCAAGTAAGACCATAAAGATCAAGTACATGCTTGTAATGGACATGATCATGTAAGAACATGATTGTACAGGATATTTCAAGTAAGACCATAAATGTATATGATTTGATCAAGTACATGCTTGTTATGAACATGATCATGTAAGAACATGATTGTACAGGATTTTTCAAGTAAGACCATAAAGATCAAGTACATGCTTGTAATGGACATGAGCATGTAAGAACATGATTGTACAGGATATTTCAAGTAAGACCATAAAGATCAAGTGCATGCTTGTAATGGACATGATCATGTAAGAACATGATTGTACAGGATATTTCAAGTAAGACCATAAAGATCAAGTACATGCTTGTAATGGACATGATCATGTAAGAACATGATTGTACAGGATATTATAAGTAAGAACATTGATGTACAGTATATTAAAATTAAATAAAATAGATCTACATGACATGACTAGGTAAGAAATTGAATGTATAGGATATGATCAATGAAGAATACGAATGTTTCAGGGTATATGGGTATTATCAGATATTACTTGGCAATTGGCTTAAAAATAGCAAAAATTATAAAATATCAAAACTAACATGTTAATAAAACAAAGCAAATACATGTTTACCTGTACAATTAAAAGTAACAGTTTCTTCTTAAAAGTAACTGTACAGAAGGTTCGATCTCATATTTAATTTTGAGAAATAGGTGATATCACTTTCTCTAACAATATCGTTTTTGGATGGAACAAATTCAAACTTTTGATCATCATTCTCATCGAGAAACTCATGATTTATTTTAACAGCTTCTTCATATAAACTGCTTCATATGGTTTGATATGTAGATAATAAGATTCAACTGCAGTTTTACAAATAGGACATAGCCTAGCATTAACAGACATATTTTCATATCGCCCCCGTTTCTTAACGTATATGCGCAACACCGCAACTGAATTTAGCCAGGGGGATCTGTGTTTAGCAGGAATATTACTTGTACAGACATACATTTCTGTTTCATAATCTTGTTTGAAAATTCTTTATGATCTAAGGTTATAACGACAATTTGTACTTGGACCGGACACATTATCAATATTTTGTTTTTTATGTACAGCCTAACCGAGACTCAAACCCGGGACCCTCGGAATATCGTTCCCCGGATCTACCGACTGAGCTTGCACATCTTCTCCCCTAAATAGTGAACAGCTCTTACATTGACAAAGTTATGATGCCCCATGTGCTTGATAGAGAACATGAAGCAAAGTTTTCCTATGATAAGTTAAGATTTTCTTTTCTAGAGCATGCCTTCAGCCATTCAACATGAAAAACATCAGCAAAGAACTCAACTAATTTTAGTAGAAGAGTATATCTAAGTCCATATAGTTTAAAAGATACTAATCTAAAATATAGTTTCGCTTTTAACATTAAAATAGGTCAATATTTGGCCATGTATAAGTCCAAAATCTAAATATGATGATGCTAGAAAAATCAACATATATAGTTACACTACTTTTAGATTTTGAACAGAATATGTCACCGCATATTTTCTGAAGCGTTTCTAGAGATTTCTAGTTTTGCAAAATCAAATCAAGAAGAATTTTGTAAATATCTAAAGCCTTAGATTATGATCAAAACATATTTTTAAAATTATTATCCCCATTTGAACTGGAGATTTCTTCTGTTTTGTTTGTTTGATTGGGTTTTACGTCACATCGACACAGTATAGGTAATATCGCGACGTTCCAGCTTTACTTGTGGAGGAAGACCTTGGGTGCCCTTCCGTGCATTATTTCAGGCACGAACGGGCACCTGAGTAGAACCACCGACGTTCCGTAAGCTAGCTGGATAGTCATGCTGTTTTAACACACCTACATGTACATGCATATGTTAATACATCAAATATAGCAAAGATTATAATATGTGTGTACAAAATATATCGAAGATCATGAATTGAATGTTGTAAAGTAGTTCCAGTTTAGGGCGAAGAACGCTGGTAGCATTATTAAGCGTACAATTAATGTCTGATTTCACGCAGCGTTCATCTGAAACAGACGACAACTCTCTATTGATATTTCGTCTGTTCGCAAATGTACATTGCCGTATGTACACATTTGCTTTTCTTCCATTGATATTCTAAGTCCGAAATTAATGCCCCGCAATAGAGCCAGTATTTGTCAGGTAGAGACCAGTTAGTGTAACCTTGATCAAGTTCAGTCTCCGTATGGATCCATTTCCAGACATCTTCCAGCACGACCATTCCGGCCCAGTAGTTCCCTGGAAGGAAACAACCGTGTTAAAGATAGATATATAAGTATATTATGTCTTCATATATGATGCATTCTTGTTTGATATAAGACAATATCATGAGGTTAATTTATAGTGTTGAGTACGATACTTAAGTTTAAATTTTATATGATGAGTACACAGCTGTTAAACCTATATTGGACGAGACGCAACTCGAGTCTGATATAGGTTTTGCAACTATGTATATATGATTTATAATCAGCATTGTACTCAACAATGTTTAATGACCTCTATATTTCACACCATCATTTTCGGACAATTTGACAGAAAGTTGTTACTTTAAATACAAAAAGGAATTGATATGACCTTTTTCAAATCCTGAAAATTTAAACGAATCTAGATAGGGTACGATACGCATTTAATACAGCTCCTTTGGACTCTGAAAATGGACACAAGAATGAGAAATATGAGGTTATAATACATTGTTGAGTACAATACTGAAGTCGTATACACAGCGGCAAAACTTATATCAGACTCGGTTAAGGCCTCGTCCAATATAATTTTCACAGTTGTGTGCTGGTCAAATAAAATCATTATTGTTTTCAACAATGTATAATGTTTATGTCATACCAACATTGTTTTACAATATCACAGAACTTTGTAACTTTGATAACAACTAGGATTTTAATATCGAATTTTTGACGCTCTCAAAAATGAAAACGAGGCAAGATGGAGTATATTATGCATTTGATAAAGATCTTTAAGACCCTAAAAATGAAAACGAGGCTGAATTCAGCGTGATATGGATTTGATATAACCTTTTTGGACTCTGGAAATAAAAACAAGGCTAATGGTGAGATATTTATATGCCAAGGTGTGAAATAATATATAAATTTTCTTGTTATCTGTATTTGAATGAAGGGGGAAAGCGAGGGTTACATATCGACTCAAAGCAGAATACTTTGCATGATCTTATATATTGCAACAAATTATAAGGGATAACTAATCTTGTTTTCGACTTATCTCCCTTGATTCTATTTTATTTTAGGTCATTTCTCGGGCAGCTAGCTTATAAGTAAGTCTTTAAAAACATTTTTTTTTCTTATTGAGGTGAAGTAATTAAATTATTGCATACGTTAGTTTTGTCTTGAGCTAAATTACTTTATGAATAGATTAAAATTATAGCATGGAATAAAGAGAAAACAGTCCATAAGTATATGCATTTTTTTCGTAATATCTTGGCAAAAGTTTGACGATTTCGATGGTACATATTATTTCAATTGAAACTTTTGAAATTTTCGCGATACAATTGACAAAATATTGCCGCACAGAAAAAAATCTGCAAGCGTATCCAGAAAAGTAAAACAGCTACAATGTTAAGTTTAAATGATTATACCGTATAAAGTTCAAACTATATTAGAAGGACGTCAAGTTTGAGTACATGTAACTTCTTTTTCTTGGTTTTTCTTCCAAGTTTCACTGTCTCCGTTTCATTTGTAAGAGAATATTATCTAACAGCCACTTACCACCGGGACACTCGTATATGCACACATACAGACCTATTTTTTGAGTCTGTTGTGTAACACCATGGTAACCCTTCTCGTCGGGATCTCGACAATAGTTGGCATGCATCTGCCACAGATCTCTCTGGAAAACTTGTCGGGTTTGATTTTGTGTATGTTTGTGAGGAGTTTGTGAATCCCACCGCTGGCACGTGTGCCGTCGTACGTCGTATTTGTAGTGCCTCTATATTGATTTGAGGAGGTACTGAAGCATTCTGAAATATTACCAGGATTTGGTTACTTTTTGACTTTTGTTACTGTTGAAATTTGGTAACTATTTACATTTGGTAACTGTTGAAATTATGTTACTGTTGAAAAACGGTTATTGTTGAAATTGGGTTGAAATTGGGTTACTAATTAAATTTGGTTACTGTTGAAATTTGGTTACTGTTGAAATTTAGTAATTGTTGAAATTGGGTTACTTTTTTTAATTTAGTAAATTTTGACATTTGATATATTCAACATTTTTATACCAATGGCTAATCTGACCTTTATCGAGTTTGTGTCCCTATTTCGTATTGTGACCGTGACCTTTCACCTATATAACAAGGTGATGACCACCTATTGTTCGGTTAAATAATTGTTTAAAGTGGCGAATGAAATATTCTCTTTTTTAACGTTTCCTAAAAAAACTAAAAGAAATAGTATAAATGAGGCAGACATAAAACAATAACGTTCATGACAAGACGTCTATATAAAGTAATGGGTAAATCAAGGAAACTTACCGCGTACTAACCGCTTATTTTCGAAAAATTCGTTTGTACCTACAGATTAGCTGGGAAAACCCCAAAATTATGGAGGCTATTCGTTGCCAAAAATCCAGCCTTGTTGATCTGAGTTGAACAGTTTGTTAATGGAAAAAATACAATTGTATTTCTTTGTATGTAAACTCCAATGTTGCATACTTGCATTGAGTTTGCCGATTTAACATTGTAAACATGCATTTCAACAAAAATACATTTTGTTAAACGACAAAACATTAACTGATAGTAGCAATACCAAGTGTTCGAATACTCAAAACAGAAGTTACATTCTTAGCTTTACATTGTCGAACCATCATGATTCAGATCAGCATAATCCAGCTTTACACGTTTTTCAATAGGAGATAAAATAAGCTCCGCCCATTTTCCCGCCCACTAAATCATCGTAAATAAACGTATTTTCCGCTCATTTTCGGTATTTACCGTCGGCGACAAGAAGCGGCGTAGTTTCCGTTTATCATACCTTTTAGGTGTTTAGTTACTAAACATAATTCACTTGCATGATTGCCTACAATCAACATCAGCGGACTTTAAAGGAATATAGGCATATAAGTTTTAAAACGTTGTAGACACCACATTTCCTGGAAAACGAAACTTAAAAAAACCCAAAAAACACCAGGTTACATACTGTCAGAGGTAAAATATTTTTCAAGGAAGTGAAAACTATTGAAAAGGAATGAGTAACATTTATTTGCATAGGAATGAGTAACATTTACAGTTAAGCTGCTACCTTACCACTTTCAAATTTTCAAGTCAACATCTGATAGAGATTTTGATACGACTAATTACTAATACAGACCAAATTCTGGCTGTTGTCTTTCCTAGTAGTACTATTATATTAGTAACCTTAATTCTAGCGTATGACTTGACAAGAAAAAAAACTTTTAACAATAGTAAAATTATAACCAAAGTTGTTTGTACCCTTTCGTACATAACTTTTTATTTTTACCATATATTTTCCCATTTTTCCCATTTTGTTTTTCAGTAAAATTTAAATGAGTCCAAATGTATGTATGTTGATTATCAATTTATGTATACCTTGTTTATTTTATCTCTTAGAAAGCCATCACTTACAAAACTTAATAAATATTCTGTGTAGTATTTCATATACATAAAAGTAGTTCTCTGTTTTTGATCATATAGACAGCAAATCTAGACAGCAAATCTAGGTAACAGCTAATGACAGCATGTAAACACATATTTTAGAGGTGCTATTGAGTCAGCACAATGCATAAAAGACCTAAACCTACGCCAGCTTACATATATTTAACAATAAAAGGCTAAATCACATCCTATGACTCAAAATACCTCCCAATGGAGGTAAACAGAGTTGCCAGGATACACTGAATATTTATTTCAACATTAAAATGGGACAAATTCACAAGTTTTGGTTATACAACGGAATTATCGATAGTAAACTTTGCATTGTTTCGTGGTTATACACTTGGTCAAAAAATTTTCTACAACCCAACATAGTCCTTTAAAGAAAGAAGGCACAGACTTATTGTTCAGTTCTCTTTATTCGTGTTGCCAAAAGTGCCTTCCATGTATCGCATTCTAGTACTATTTGCTGAAGGTAAAAAAAAAAACACATGCTTAAGAGTATTGCCGTGGCTCACAAAACCCTATCATTGATATCAATGGATAGTGGTGTGTGTCATTATATATGGGAAACATTTCCTTATGTTATTTCACCAACTTTAGTTTTTGCATATTAATATGCTCATTATCAGTATATACGTTGTTACATTTTTACATTATATCTTAACCAATTTTGCATTACTTGAATATCCTGTACTAGAATACGTTTTAACAAAATCAGAGGATGTTCAAAGTCAAGATTGATGTAACAGTTTCTATATAATTTGAAATATTTTTTGTACCAGCAAGAGTTACCTCTCTTTTAGTCCAACTAATTAGACTTGTCAAAGAGACACCGAGATAATTTTGGACGGGCGCTGTCTTTTTCCAAGTCCAACCACGAACTGCATTTTTATGCACGGACGCTTCCCAATTAGAAGTTGTTGGGAGCGAAAACTAAAAAAGTTTCAAAGAAACGGTCTACATTACCTGAAAGAGAACCGTTTTTTATGCAAGGTTCCAAGTTATCATACTTTAAAGTCGAACACAAGTCTAAATATTCCACTTTAACTTTTTAAATCGTTTGTAAGCGGCCATATTGGAAAATGACGCAAGCGGTGACGGGGTAAAACAGGGTAAAATTGTAAAATTTCCATGGTGTAACACAGGTATCGGCGGCAATCGATTGTATTTGTCAAGCTTTATAATATAATTTGTTTAAGTTATTTATTATGAATTATGCAGGAATAACTTTTTTTCACACAAGAATATTTCAGCATTAAAAATAAAATGTGAAAAGGATATTCTGATAACCTTACTTAGATGTCCGACGTCAGATCATACTGCATTTTAAAAGTCCATTTAAATTGTCAAATTAGAAATCATAATGTCGGATTTTTTAACATCTGTGATCATTAGGTGAAATTTCTGAACTGCCTTTTTTTATAACCCTGTCATGATTTCGCACATATGAAAATACAATGTAATTGTAGGTACATCTTAATGAATTATAAGTATACTATACATGATGAAGCAAAGAAGAATTTCAATTTATATTAAACTCCCTATCAATTTCTAGTTTATTATCTTAAAAAAATTGAGGATAGTTGTGTAGGGGAAGAAGTTCAAAACAACCAAAAATAACTTTAAATTCTGAGAAAAAAATCTTAAAATTTCAAACTATAAAATGGAATTTCAGACAGTCCTCAGTAAAATGCAATTGTCGAACAGATATGACGGGGTTTATGATAAAAACGCAGCAAGCGGAAATTTAGTGACCCTTATTTAAGACGTAGAATAGCATAACAATGTAAGACAGATGGGAGAAATAGTCTGATTAGATTACTGTAGTCGTCTGTTAGAACGACTGTCGCAAAATGACACCAAAACCTATATCCATTTAAAATTCCATATTATCTAGTTCCCGCTTTTCATTGAACGGCACCTCGAATGTGTTGCATTGAAAGTTCCATGATTACCGCCGTATTTTGTACACATCTGTGGGTGTTGATTAAAATTTCTACATTATTATGTTTAAGTGATGAATTCTGTTGAAACCGGCGCAAGGGAGCACATGTACCTACCAGAGCCGTCTTTGGCACCCATGTGTATTTATGTTTCGGTTTTGCAGTTTCAGGCGTTTTTTTGGTGTTTTTTTTTTGGAGGGCGGATATGTGGATAAGCTTTTTCTGTTTTCTTTACATTTCTTTGCTTGCTTGTCGGACCTTGTATTGATAATCATTATCTGTTTGTTATGGTTCGGTTCGGTATACAAGTATAAAATATGATAAACAAGATGAACAAGGAAAGGCCGCGTTCAATGAACGCAACCCCCGCACGACCCAGGAACAAGAACCATTTGCAAGGAACCCAGGAGGATCCTAAACAAAAACAGGACGGCGCAAGAGAGAGCACGGTCTGGCTTATCACTAAAATGATACAAAATGATAAATATAAAGAAATAATGGTAACATACAAGGAAATCAAAATCAAAGAAAATAAATGAATGATTAATAGGACTATTAAGTAAACTGGCACAGTGGTTGGGGATAGGAAATTCGGGGAAGGGGGAGGGGCGGAATAAAGAAATAAAACTAGGGGCAAAGGGAAGATACTTACTATAGAAACAACAAGGGACACAAACAAAAGTGTCACCAAAAATACATGTATAAGTCTCTGAAAATTCTTATCTTCTCAATGACTTTTTTTAATATCCTCTACTTAAAATTTATTTCAATTAAAATATGTGACCCTTCCCTTATAGTTACACAGCATATGGCTGGATCACAATAAAGTTCCTTTTTTAGTAAATTAATAAAGTATGTCAAGAAGACATTTAAATTTATCAGTAGGTTTAATATGGTATTATAATATATATCAGCAATAGGTGAAAAAGAATTCCTTTATTTCTTTTACATTCTTAATTGTCATTTAAATATGCATGTATAAATGAAGTCAGTATTTTATCGGCAGTCATTAGCAGTAAACAAGAAGGCAAACCATCTATTGATAAATGTTGAGTACATGTATTAAAACATTTAAAAAATATTAAACAACAGTACTTGTACGGAGCCTATTTGCTACCATTCTATTTTAGGTTTAACACATTGATACTTTTCAATAGTATTTAATAATGCACAAATTTATTTAAAAATAATGAATAGATTTATTTCCCCGATATTTTTTTGAAGTTTAATCTTCATGCGTAACCCACACTTACCTGCTAGACACACTGGTTGCTACTACCAGCTTTCACGGAATCGATTTTTTACGATGACGTCATAACATGTCCGCCGGAGATAGTGTATACAGTACAAATTTGAAATAAATCGCATGTATGCGTTAATACAGGTACAATCTAATATTTTTTCTAGGAAAAGTTAGTACTAGAATTTATATTCTATTGATTTTTAGAGGACATTGAAGTTACTTTCAGGTTTAAACAGTAAAAATCAGTCCAAACTATCGATAGTGTTGCCGGTAGATTTTCCGTGCGTAAAAATGACAGTTAAAATTAGGCGTAACGGTTTGACAGTAAATAAAAAACAGTCTGTAAAATGGGTCAAACCGTTCACGCCGAATTAATTAGGCTACCTCTCTTTATATTCTGCTTTCGTGAAATTGGCTCCGCCTATTAATTTTCGTCTATTTCCGTGATAATTCCATATATGGAAGTTGCAAAATCGTTTACAAATGTTAATCGCGTTAGAATGTAAAAGGAAAGTGTGGTGTTGTAAACCTGAGTGTGTCAAGTTGATGCAGTTACATTCTCAACGTCATGATGCACAGCATTAAACGTATTGTGTATGTTCTATCGTTTACATTTCTACATGTCGCAAATTTGAAATTATACATTTATAAATACAGTTTGCAATTTATCTAAGTTGCATGTTAACAGCTTTCATTTTATCAAATCGAGATAATCAAAATGCTTAATACCAGTGCAGTATGTAACTCTCGGATCGACAATTAGATTTTTACTAATCTGTTTAGTAGAACCGAAGTATGCATTGTCAAGTTTCAAAGGCTGGATTTTTGGCAACGAATAGCCTCAATACAAAATACTCTTTATTCCGGAGCGACTCCGTATGTGTTTTCCCTTCAAATTCTTTCCGCCGTAGGTGGTAATGCAATAATGCTATAACATATAGTTTGTAATAATCATATTATAAGTTTTTTCAAAATTAAACCACCTTTTAGTTATCTTATTTATTTTTGGGATTCCAACAATTGCCAGTATTAATCAGAGCTCTAGAAAGTCTTTAAAACTGATAGAGGTGAATACATAGATCTATATGTAAACAATTATTTCAAGTTCACAAGTGAAACACTGGATTTTTTCGATTGAATGAATTCACAGTAGATCTACATTACTCATAATATAAGTATGAATATAATTTTGCAAAAGGCTAGGCAACAATATTTATAGTGAGTATTTCAAGTCCATGACGGCAATGAACGCTATAAACTTGATTTACATTGTTTGCACAGCGTTCGCGTAGCTTTGAGTGTGTGACGTCACCGTCTTTAGTTAGTCCTTTCAGCCCATTGCTTCCGTGGAAAGTGCCGACATTTTTATATTTATGTACTTTCTTTTTCAAGAAAATACTTTAAATCTCATATCGAAGTGAGAAAATATTTACTGCTTTCGCAATTTATATATTGCAGCCGCTCGTGATCATATAAACAAGTGTAACATACCTCTACTATTTTGTCTGTCACGTGTTTCAATATGGTGTTTAAGGAACTGATCTTCGTCAGCAGATGTAATCTCGGCAAGATAACCGTTCAGTTTTTGACAACGAATCTGAAACAAAACATGTTTTAAATCATATGATTAAGGCAAAGCATCAAAGCGAGCTATCGGAAAACAAAGCTATCGGAAAACAATACACAATAAGTACGTACACATGTATTTTTTACAAAGACCCCCACTCGCTAAGGATCAAAATATTAAAGCTTGATAAGAATTCCAGCTCGAAAATTTTTTATTTTTATTTTTTATTTCCGTATGATTCGTAAATATGGATCTCAAAATAGAAGAGCTTTTATCCTAAGTGATGTGAACTTCCGGCCATTTTTTTTCAAAACCATCATAGTTTGGATGCTACTTGCGTTACTGCTATACTCGCTATACGAGTCACTCATTTAGCTAGTTAATATGAATTTGCAAAGCCTAAAATTTAGCTCTAAAACAAAAAAATTCTAAAACATTACACTATTTTAAGTATTTATCAATCGTTTCGCAAATCATGACCTCACAAAGAATTCAATGTCAGGGAAATAGATTGGAGTCAATAAGATTTCCATTTCGGAAAGATGATAATTATCGTGAGAACGTGAACAACCAGAACTTGAAGTGACTTCTTATAACTGCTTATAATTCTTAATACAGGGAAGATATAAACGCCAGGGGAGGAAGATTTTTTTTTCATAGCTAACAAACGCCAGGCAGTCCTTCGGGTATGATCTTCAAACTTACTACTTGGCCTATAATGGCATCACTGATCTATCTTTATATGCATGTACCTCGAGAAGAGCCAAACTATTTCAAGAAAAATCAAACATGATAGAAATGTATTAAGATTTTAAGAAAGGTAAAAACAAATAATCAAGATTTGTGTCAAAGATTTCATGCTACGTCCGATTAAATACTGATATTTTGCAGTTTTTATCACTATAATTGTAAATTTGCATATTTTGACCTTTCTGGTACTTTGCGTTGATTGTAAGTGACGATTGCAATATTCAACTTACTGTACTTTCTTTGTACAGCTCGAAATATTTTATTTTTTTTAAAAATACATTCTCAACAATTTTCATGAAAATCAGCATGAATTTGGAGGCATGTTGCTTTTATTAACCTGAAGATGATCACAAAGTTTAACCTACCATCGCATCTAGCCAGCTTGCCGATTGGTTACTGATGAAATAACATGACTGTCCGTATGAAATCCAGTTGTCAGGACAATCTATAATTAGAATAAAACGTATTCAGATGAAACTTTCATTGTAGATGTTAAATTAAATATTGGAACCTTAATTTGCATGAAAAGTTTATAATGACGTTTAACATAAAAATTACGACATGCTTCAGCTTATTAAATGCTTGCAAAATATTCATTAACGTATGCCCCTTTTATTCAAATCAGATTATTATTGTAAGTTTCTGAACCATATTGATAGAATCAAAATAACCAAAACATTCTATAGTAGACATGAAATGCGTTTATCTGACGTTAGAATGTGTGCATTTCTTCAATCTAGATTTTAAACCTGCCGCTTTCAACTGTTAGGATTACTCCCATGTGCAAGATTTACGTTTCTATTAAAAACTACATTTACAATGTTTATCTTACGGTAAATTTATGTTGTTTTCATATCATTCATGATCTATTTTTGAATGAATTGTAAAATAGAATGACACATGTAAACTGTACGTAAACAGAATATAAGGTTTCGAACAATTTATTATACAGCTGTTTTAAGTACAGTTTTTACCGTGTATGCGCCATTTGCAAGGTTATATACAAAACGATTTCTTTCATACATGTAAATTATATATGTATTTTGCAAGAATACTAGAACTTCTTTTTTTTTAAACTATTCATAGCCGTATGCGTTGACTTTTTAAATATTTCGGAAAATAAAATGCTAAACGCAAAAAGTTCAAACCTTGTATTTCTGTTGTTGTTGTCGTCTGCAAATGTGGTATTGAAGCTCCGGGTCAGCGTCGCATTAATGAAACATCCGTCTGGAATATTTGACAGTAGCTTATACACGAGAATTCCGCTTCCAAATAGCAAAATAGAAACACTGAGCAATACGACATAGAAAGTCCATTTTTGCATTGATATCAGCTTTTTGTAATTTAAGGCAGGTGAAGATGTGTTCAAGTTTTTTCTGAGAGAAGTATAATATTCGGATGGATTTTCTTCCATTGTAAGAGAATGTTACACAAATCACAAAAATAAAAGATACTATCGAATACTTTGTCATTCACGCAAACGCTTTCAAAGTTTTAAAACTTACTTGTATACATAACGCGCACGCGTGTTAACGCACTCAGTAATCAAGCTGCACAATTTTCTGATGTGAAACCTTAAAACTCTACTTAAATATCGTTCTTTTTGTTTAAAGCAGCAGTGTCTAAGATGAAATAAAAATGTGTAAAGTTATTAGATGTCTAATACATAACCACTAGTTAGTGCTCGCCAATTTTTTTTAAGCCAATCACCGACGAGGATTTTTCAAATTTTCAGGTTTCAAAGCTTAATAGAACAGATTTTATATAAACTGGACGTTTTATATTATAAAACGCAAGTGGGCGGAGCTAAGTTTCGAAGAGCGCTAAAGTGAAATGTACGCATGTGCAGAGATCTTGAAGTTTACTCCTACTAATCAATATTTATGCATCATGTTTTTTCCGTACACGCACATGTATATCGTCACTACGGCATAGAATTAAAAAAAGAGGTTCATTGAAATGAAAACAGGCAAAATAACAGTAAAAATGTTTTATTACTTACGGAACCAGTATCATTTTATAATTTCCAAATAAAAAGTTCACTTATTCCAACAAAGTATGTATGTAATATTTCTTACTTTTTATGTAAATATTACAGCCCGTGCAGCTGCAAAACCGAAAGTAGGGTGTTTTTATTAATTTTACAATATACTGCCATTTGTCCGAAGATGATATGTATATGAACATAATAAATATGCATGATGCATATATAATCAAGCTACAGGTTCATTTCAGCCCGAAAAATATGTCGAGGTGACGGGCGAGGCAAGACATGTCGACTTTTTGTAGCTTATTGTGAAGTTGCAGTACATGAAAATCGGGCACATGACAAATCAGCACATTAAAACATTCAAGTGTTCCGTGGTATACATCTTTTCTATGTGTCATACCCAAGGGGCAGGACGTGAAGTGGTTGCATACTTGGTTCAAGCGAGCGAATTGGTTGCAAACTTGACAAAATGTCGAACACGGCGTGATTTTTTGAAACGGGCGAACGAATTTTTGCCAGGCAAGTGGGTTTCTTTGAAGTTCATTAGTATGTCTATTCCATAATACAATATATATGCCACACTCGGTTTAAGGTTTCAGCATCCTAGATTCTGTTTTGACGAAGTTATTGAAGATATAAACTGATCATGTAGATATTTTGAAATTTGACATGTGACTGTTCTGGTCGGTTTTTCTCCTAATTTATTCGAATTTGTAAGTTTTGAACTGCATTTAACAATAACAAAATATGTTTCTGTCAATGCTGTACAAATGGTTTAGTTTGCAAGTCCGAAGATAACGTTCAATACACAAAAATATCTTGTTCAAGCACATTTTGGTTGCAGACTTATACTTCAAGCATTTTTGGTTGCAAACTTTTGTGTCAATAATGTGGCATGCATATTTTAAGCGAGGAATTACTAATCATTTTTTTTAAATAATTAGCAATATTAAGGCAATTATACCCGTTCATCTAATAAGAAATATATATACAAATTGTGCATGCGTGCAGATATATCCTAACACAGGGTCTTTCAAATAGATATATAACACAATATGCTAAATTGAAGTTCAGTTGTGTTTATCTTCATCATTTTTTCTCCTCGATATACTTCTTTTTTTTACAAAGTCTTAGGACTTTTTTTATATCTTGGCATGACTAACTGTAAAGGAAAAGAAGAAGAAAATAGCAACAAACAGCTTTCATTATTGTTCTTTTTTGAGATTTGAAATAAATTTGATTATATAGTAGATAAAAACTATATTAACATTGACACAAGGGCATTATTCACATGTTTCTTTAAATTGTTCCTTATTATTGACCAATCGAAACATCTTCCAAATTCCCTAACTCGAATAATGACTTTAAGTAGTTTTACCACGTATCAGTCAATGTAAATAACCAATCGTATATCATTTATATTATTATCTTATAATCAAAATCATCTTTACTAGACTACCAATTGACATATGATGTACATCAAATCCGAAATATTGTAAACAAACATGTCATTTTAACTTTTCAGTTTTGGTTTGTAAAAATATTAAAGTACATTTACATAATTTATGCATAAAGCAACTGCTGATCATACGAAACAAACAAATTAACATTTCTTGTGGTTTTGATAAACTTTAGAAATTTTGCCGAGTAACATCGTATGTGTGCACATGTCCTTATGTTTATGATGAAAATAATTCACTTAGATACAATAGTACTTTCACATTCTATTATGCTATTATTTTGTATGCAGGCAGCAGGCTTTTACTGATGATTATAGTATTTACCGAGAACCATGTAATTTGAATCATGAAGTGGATAACTGTTGTAAAAGAAGAAAGTATAAAAAACATTTATAGCAAAAACAAGTAACAAAACATAAATGTCAATAATTGCCATTGAAAATAGGTTTCTACACTCCTTTTGCAAAATTTTACTATGGATTTCAATAGAATAAGAATAAGTTTGCAACCAAAAATGCTTGAAGTATAAGTCTTCAACCAAAATGTGCTTGAACAAGATATTTTTGTGTATTGAACGTAATCTTCGGACTTGCGAACTAAACCATTTGTACAGCATTGACAGAAACATATTTTGTTATTGTTAAATTCAGTTCAAAACTTACAAATTCGAATAAATTAGGAGAAAAACCGACCAGAACAGTCACATGTCAAATTTCAAAATATCTACATGATCAGTTTATATCTTCAATAACTTCGTCAAAACAGAATCTAGGATGCTGAAACCTTAAACCGAGTGTGGCATATATATTGTATTATGGAATAGACATACTAATGAACTTCAAAATAACAAAGAAACCCACTTGCCTGGCAAAAATTCGTTCGCCCGTTTCAAAAAATCACGCCGTGTTCGACATTTTGTCAAGTTTGCAACCAATTCGCTCGCTTGAACCAAGTGTGCAACCACTTCACGTCCTGCCCCTTGATACCTCCTTTCCTTATTACAATGAATTTTTACTGCATTGTTATCCATCGCTGGTTTGTTTTTAGCAGAGAATGACCTGTGTATGTTCAAAGAGGGTACCGTTTGAGAATATTTCGCAAAGAGGGTACCGATATGAATATGCACCGTGATATTGTCTGATTTACCTAGACAGAATGCGGGAATAAGCTATGCAAAACACGTGACCCGAAAATGTGTACCGCCTCTTCCAAATATGGTTATACACATTTAGGCTATCGTGTGACGTCACGCAGTGTGTTGGGCGGAAAAAAAATGGGCGGAGCACTAAGCCGGTTAGAGTGCATATTGGATGTTCTTCGTAAATAAGAAAGCTAATGTCGCTTCGCAAGCTCCGCTCTTTTTTAGCTTTCTTATTTACGAAGAACACCCAATATGCACTCTAACCTATACTAAGATCAAGATGAAATTAGTAGGACTATGGTTTAACTGATTGAAATACATTGAACTTCCTATTGTTCTATATAATAACTGATACAAAAGTTAAATTTTAATTGTCAATATTTCTCAATCAAACATGATGGTAAACTTTTAATATCTGTTTGCATTTATGTTAAAAATATGTTAAAGATTTAAAATGCAATGTTGTGGTTGAGTTAGGAACATTGTTATTAATTGTTATACATATATATTATACATCAAGTATACAAACAAATAATAAAAGGGGCATTTTGCACTGACAATCCGAAAATATTATCTTTTGTATATCATGTTATGCAAAAAAAACCTCCAAAAAACAATGTTCTGGAAAAAATGGTACAGAAGCTTATTGAAAAGTTAAGTCATGTCTTTCATAAGTCATATCTTTCATAAGTCATATCTTTCATAAGCCATATCTTTCATAAGTCATATCTTTCATAAGTCATATCTTTCATAATACATATCTTGCATAAGTTATGTTTTCATAAGCCATATCTTTCATAAGTCATATCTTTCATAAGTCATATCTTTCATAAGCCATATCTTTCATTAGTCATATCTTGCATAAGTCATATCTTGCTTAAGTTATATCTTGCATAACAGTCAATCCAGAAATTTATGCTGTTTTCAGATATGAAAAATGACTTAAAATCAATCAACATGAAATCATGATTTAACAACTTTTTCAATAAGTAAAATATGTTAGGCGACTTGTTACAAAAAAATGCTCACCAAATGTGACAGATTTTCAAATTGCTTTGACTCAAAAATGTACACCTTATTTTCAATGTAACGGAAGTTAAACTTCTGAACAGGGTCAAATATGAAGTATTTTACTGTTCTAGATCTCAGTTTATCAATGATAAAAACATATTGGCAAGCAGAAGAGATCTTATATATAAAATATATACGGAATATTTGACACAAAAGACCATTTTAATAAAAATAATAAAACAGAGAATAACTTAAGTGAGCAGGTTTAAAACGTGACTATTTTCTTATAAGAAAACAATCGCAAAACTAATAAAAAAAAGAAAGAGTGTTACACTTTTGTCATATTCAGCTATATACATATTCAATAGAAACCATTGGCATTGACTGTTATCAAATGTTATCATATTATGTTTTCTTGTACTTGTTAGTTTTACATATAGAGTCAGTAACGGAAGTTAAACTGTCAGATATTTGCTGTCAAACATTTTATATTTTACCTCAAATAACTTGCCTCTAATGTATATCGGGCAAATTAAGTAAATTGTATGCAGCATGATTGTGCACAATACAAAATAACATCAAAGTCCTAAAGC